CAACCCCAAAGTGGTTCTCCCAGAGCAGATTACAGGCAGGGAAAGGGGCAGGTGGTGCCACAAACAACCCTGACCTACTTAACTGTGCTGCCTGCTACCTGTCCTGCCTCTGCAGGAGCTCAACTTGCAGGTCTCAACTGGCAGGATTTCTCGGCCATTCACTGGGCCCAGTTACTGCTGCCAACCTGCACCCAGATGAAGGGCTGGTAGGGCTAATAGTGCCACTGGGTGGGGAGGAATTCCAGTAGGGACTGAGGTTACATATCAGTAAAGACTTTACTAGTTTCACCTGGGAAGGCTGACGTGGGAGTTCAGTATCCTAGGAGGCTCGGGATCCCTGAGGATATGAAAAGAGGTGACTGTGGGATGTTTTGGAGACGGAAAGGTGTACCAAGCTGCTTTGTGGTGCCCTCCCTGTTTGTGTGCGTGTCCAGTGGAGGAGAGAGGCAGGCATCTACCTGGTGCTTTTGCATTTTGCACAATGTTTTTTCCTCCCTTTAACCTTTCAATCTCTTTTCTGGAGTCAAATAGGCAGAGCAAGTCGGCACTTCATAGGGATACTGGGAGACGCTTAGGAGGCTCTTCATGTAGGACGGTGAACAAAGTGGCTGGTGAAAGTGATCCCTCGTTTTAATCTCCTGGAATCTCACAGCCCGGAGAGCTAAGCACGAATGTTACTACCCCAGTTTTACAGATGAGCGGCTGGCAGATGGAAATGCCTGGTTCAAGGTCACCCAGGCTTAATGCAGAGTGGGCCTGAGACATCAGTTTACGCCTGTTACACCTGCTAGGCGTCAGGTGAGCGCGGGGGGAAGGGGTTGGGGACCAAGCTCCAGCGGGGGGGTAGTGGGGGGTGAGGGGGGAGGATAGGAAAGGGGGGTGCACTGGGCGGGTGACGTCACCCTCTTGCTCTGGTCCTCGGGGCGGGGCTGAGCGGGATCCAGGTTCTGGTCATTCACACCCTGGCCTGGGTTGGCAGTTGGGACCCAAGTGGCAATTCGCACCAGAATGCCTCAGGGGAAATGGAGCTTGTTCTGAAGTTTCCAGGGGCTGGAGGTGTGGGGGAGGACACATAACTGGCGTGTGAGGAGGTGCAGCAAGCTGAGTGGAGTGGAGGGGCGAGTGCCCCACACTGAGGCTCACCCTAGTAACGGCCATCTCGAGGGACCTCACTGTTTTCAAGGATTCTCGCACTTTCCCAATTTCTTTAACAAGTCCATGCCACCTTGACTTAAGAAAAAGAGTCTGGGCCAGAGGATGAGCGACTTGTCTAGTATCACACTGTCACTATTTCCTGGGCCCAAGCTTTTTTTTTTTTTTTTAGATTTATTTATTTATGCATACAAGAGCTGGGGTACACGGGCCTCCCCGGTGGCACAGCGGTTGAGCGCTGGGTTGCAAAGCTGCCCGCAGCCTCTGCAGCGCCAGTTCGATCCCCGGCTGCTCCCCGGCCACCGGAGGAGGGTCCCGCATGGCACGCAGATCTCTCCTGCCGCCCGCTGCTCCCCTCAGCAGTGTGCTTTGGTCCTTCTGCCTGCTCTGCTCCCCGCTCTGGCTCTGGTGAATTCTCTCGCCCTCCCGCGCTTCTGACTATACCCAGTGCTTGTATAAATAAATAAATAAATAAATCTTTAAAAAAAAAAAAAACACGCCTCCTCTGGGCTGAGAATTTAAAATAAAAAAAAAAAGAGCTGGGGTACAGGCCAGAAATGTAGCGGGGGGAAGTGGGGGGGGAGGCGGTGAGAGGATTCACCAGAGACAGAGTGGGAAACAGAACAGGCAGATTGACAGAAATACACTGCTGAGGGGAGCAGCAGGCGGGTGAGTCAGGAGGGTCAAGTCTCGTCTACTGGCGAGTCAGGTCTGCTGCGCCATGTGGGTTGCTCCTGGCCAGCCTGGGATTGAACTCGTGCTACAGAGGCTGTGGAGTGCTTCATAGTGCAGTGCTTAACCCCCTGCGCCACGAGGGAGGCCCCCACCTGGGCCCAAGTCTTAATCCTAGAGTCTGAATCCGAATCCCCCATTCCACCTAGTCCCCCCCCACACACACACAGAAAGACTGGGAAAGGGCAGCTGTCATAGACAGAACCCCCTGGGTGCCACCCCTTTTTTTGGGTCTGCTGACTCATCTAGCACTCACCTTGCAGCATGGATCCAGAATGCCAACTGGCTCATTGACACAGAGCACCAGGAATGCCACCACATAGAGGGGTTGTAAGCATGCCCTGTCCCAGAGGGGACCCTAGCAGCAGCTGGGTCATGCAGAGATGAGCTAGAGATGCCCAGCTAGACAACGGTCACTGGTTGATTTGGAAGATGTGGGTTCTGTCCATCCACACACTCACTGCCAACTTGCCAAGAAACCAGACGAGCCTCCCCGCCAGCCCAGCCTCCCTGTGAGATCTGCTGCTGGCTGACAGCCCTCAGACTGCCACACTTCCTATGTCAGGGCTCAGCTTTCAGGCAAGACCTGCAGGCCAGGAAGCAATATTGTCTTTAAAGTGACTTTGCAGGGCCTCCCTGGTGGCGCAAGGGGTTATGCACAGCATGTGAAGCAATCCGCAGCCTCGGAAGCATGAGTTCAATCCTCCCTGCCAGCCAGACGCAGCAGACCTCTCCTTTCTCACCCGCTGCTCCCCTCAGCAGTGTATTTCAGTCAGTCTGCCTGTTCTGTTCCCAGTGCTGTCTCTGGTGAGTCCTCTCACCCCCCTCCCCCCGCACCTCTGGCCTGTACCCCAGATCTTGTATGCATAAATAAATCTTTTTAAAAAATAAAATAAATAAAATAAAGTGACTTTGCACTTCTCTGTTCACATTCATTTAGATTCACTACTGCAGTTTAACAACAGGAGAACATTCCTCAGTAACTGGGGCTTTCCTATCAAGCTCTCCTTGCCCCAATTTACGGCCTTCACCTATTCCATATTCATCTCAAAGGATACACAACTATATTCCAATTTGTTGTATCTGAGGTTTCATGTATATTTTTAAGGATGACTGCTGATTCTACTGGAACGTTTAGCTTTTCAAGAGTTTAAAGCCCCAACAACTCACATACAAGGTAAAACAAAAGGAAAATTGCAAAATGCAAGGAGGAAAGTCCTGAGGCCTGATAGTGGGTTGGCTGCAGAGTGCCCACTTGTGGTGTGGGGGCATCACTGCAATAGCCAGGCAGGAGACCTAGCAGCTTTTTTCCCCTAACCCCGCCCCCATCCTCCCTGATTTCAGATGAAAACACTGATGTCAGGAGGTTGGAAATGAGTGAGAATTGCACCTTTTTTGGCACTGGCATTAGAGAACACTTTGGAAAAATATTCTAGTAATTTTCTGCAAGATGAACTTAAGTTCAGAAAGTAGATGACTGTTTTTCTCTCCTTCAAGCCTTTGCTGGGGTTGAATAACCTACTTAACATCCCACCTTTATCCCATGGGCACTGGCAGTGAAAGCTGAACACAGCTGGAGTCATGCAGGTTGGAGGAAGGGACAAGCCCATGCCCAGCAAACACCTGAGTATCACTGGGAACCAAGTTCAACACTACAGCTTTGAAAGACCTGAAAAACATAACTGTAGCTAGACTAAGATAAGAGCTTACAAGATAAAGTACAGTTTCAAGTTTTGAGCTACAGAGGGGGAAAAAGAATCGCATCAACAGGCTGTTGATGGCATCCCGATATGCTCCCTTGGCATATTCCAGGGAGACCCGCACACCCCTATATTTGATTTCAGATTCTTCTGTCGCCATGTGGGCTATGGGCTGAAGGAGACCTGGTCAGGAATCCTAAAAGGTCAGATAGGAGGCGGTTAAAGGGACCCAGAGAGCACAGGGTCCCCAAGGGGCTGTTGGTGTCAAGGAATTCAATGAGATACTCAGGTTTGGTACTACAGAGAAGTTGGAAAGGACTGAGGGAGAGAAGAGAAAGGGCACAGGTTCATTTCAGCCTGACTCACTGCCAAATGGTATAGTAAGAACTGGAGACTACCTGGGGAAACTTTTGCTTTTGAACCTAAAAGGGCCTTGTTTCCACCAAACTTCACATACATCTCCTGGTGTGACATGTACCTGGAATATACATGATTCCAGTTCCCAATACAATGATAGACTTTGCCCTCATTAGAACTCAGAGCTTATCAAAGAGCCTTAAAAAGGTACTAACGGTCCTTAATGAGGCCTAAAGTCTTCAGTTACACGAAACTGAGAAATGAAGTGCTAACAGAGGTGCCAGTTCTGAGCAATCTGCTGGTCAGGGATCAGTGAACAGTCTGGGCAGTGTGGAGTACCCCCTGCCCTTCTGGGTGGAGTCAGACCTTGGGAAGAGGGGTAGAGTGGTTGAGGTGGGGGGAGGGACCCATTCCCAATCCTGTCAGGAAATCATTTTTGAGAAGGGGGTCTCAGTGGCATGGTCATCCCACCTCTCCCTAGCCCAGAGTTTGGGAAGAAAAGGGGAGGACCCAGCTTCAACTTGAGGACACATAGGCCCCTTGTTCCCCAGGAAGCCCGAGTGAGTCAGGGCAGAGCGCCAGGGAGGGGAGAGCCCTCTAGCCACACTAGCCTCTTCTGCCCAGAGGTGTGGGAGTACAGCCAGGAGCTAGGGGGAAGCGGGCCAATTTTACAGAGCTCATTCCCTAGCTAAGGACAGAGTGGAGGGGGTGGCATTGAAGACAAAGGAAAGATGGGGTGCTGTCTCCACCCCCCATGCTATGAAAGGAGGAATGAAGCAATGAAGAAAAATGGCCTTTCTTGGTCCAGCCAACAGTCTGGGTGTCCTGGCTCCAGGCCTGTGCCTCCTTTGTGGTCCCAGCAGGGGGCACTGCAGGCCCTCTGAGGCCTACAGACCTAACATTCCTAGCCATCCTTCCACCACCACCCCGCCGGCACACACACTCTTGCATTGTCCCAGACCCTGTTGGGTCATGCTAACACCCACCCCCACCCCCGCCAAACTTAGGTTGCCATCCGTCTACCCTCTCCAGGCCATGAAGCTGTGGCTGGAGAATACAGGGAACCATGGAGAGAAAAAAAAAAAAGGTTTATTTAATTAGCAAGCCATTGAAGGCACCTGGTTTCTGTCCAGTATAAAAAAAGGCAGTAAAATGGCATCTGTAACAGAATGGATTTTGGGTAGGAACATGGAGAGGTGGGGGGAAGGACACTGGGAGAAGGGGGGGTGGAAATATCAGATGGGACCTTAGAACAGACAGTCCTGGCCCCTAGCCACCCCTGGCACAAGCAGACAAACATACTGACTGACACACATGAACACACACACACGCTCTCAGCCTCTGCCATCCTGTTCAAATAGGGATCAGTCAGAGCCACATGTGGGGGGCCTTAAGCAGATATAGACTGTGTCCCCTCCCTCAACTCTGACCCTCAGGCCGTGTTCTCCACTGTCCATCCAGAGTTTCCTCCTCAGGGCCTGAACATCAGGGCCCAGTACAGGCCTTGAGAAAGCAGATGTCAACTAGAAAACAACCTCCAGTCCACCCCCACCCATTCCATAAAGGAAGGGGCAGGAGCAGGCAGCCCGACTGTCTTTCTGTCCATCCGTAATCACACGATTGCCCGAAACAGGAAGGATAATACAGCCCCCAGCGCCAGGCCCAGAGACAGAAAAAAGGCCATGATGGTTCCAGCAGTTTCTGCTTCAGCCGGATCCACTTTCCTAAAGGAGGGAGGGCAATGCTACCTTAAGACAGCATCTGGGGTGAAGAGATTCCTCTGATCAAACTCTCCCAAACCCTATCTGGCACTTCCCTCTTGGAGAACACGTACAGGGGACCATCTTCCACCTCCCATATCTCCAACTCACTAAGCCTGGGCACCCCACCTGCCTCTGGCCACCACCCACTACCACCTTCTAGGTGTTCCTCAACAGCCTCCTCTCAGCCCAGGAGCAGGACTCTCCTTTCGCCCTCCCTCCCCCTGTAGAGTACAGAGAGTGCTCCCTACCAGAGCCCAGACCCTGCTGATGCCACCAAGTTCCACTCACTTGGGCCCGAAGCACATGCAGAGACTGGCGAGGTAGCCGTTGGAGAAGGCGAAGGCAGCCATGAAGAAGATGAACCAGGCGTCGTGCTTGAAGACCACAGGCAGGTAGGTGCGGGGCTTGACGTTGCACAGCAGCAGCAGAGGCACGAACACCACCCGGGCCAGCACCAGGCTGGGCAGCCAGCGGCTGTCCTTGCCAGGCTGTGGACACCAGGCAGTACCTTAGCCCAGGGCCATCCGCAAGGCACATCCAGACCTCAGGGGCTCCATTTGGGGCCCCTCAGATTCTGAATTGAAACCAGCCTGGGCAGGTGGGGTGCCCAGCCTTTTGGGGTACTGATGGGAGGGGAGAACATGGGGGAGCCCTCTAAACTACTGGAAATGCTCTACATCTTGATCTGGGGGGTCATCATTCAGGGTGTGTGAGTGTGCATGTGTGTGCTCACTGACCTGTCCACTCAAGCCTGGTGTATTCCTTACAGATGTATAATAGATTATGTCGTGGTTTAAAAAAAAAAAAAAAAAAGCATGTCCCCTTCACCACCATACTTTCTTGGTTCTGAACTCCTCCCTCTCACGGGGGTTGAATGCCCCCTTCTGCCACTTACCCACATGAATACAGCTGTAAGGCTCCGGCCTATCCAGTCAAAGATATTGAAAGTCAGGAAACAGGACACAGGAATGAAGTACTTGCCTAGAAGAGGAGATTACAGGATGGTTATTAAGCCTGGAGAGGCAGACTCAGCAATCCTGACCCTCACTGGGGCTGTTTCCCGGGCTATGAAATGACAACAATACTTCCAGCCCAGGGAAGGATAAGCAAGCCAGTAGTCTAGCTGGAGATGGCAGCCAGGCCCCCCTCGCCCCACTCCCAGGCTTTAGCCTTTCTGCCTCCACCCTGGGAATCCATGGTGTCCTTACCCCAGGTGCCCTCAATGCTGGTCTTGACCTCAGCAGTCACAGCAGGAAATAGTCCGATGGTGATGGTGAAGATGAAGCAGACGGAGAGAGCTGGGACTAAGATCTGGAAAAAAGGGACCTAGGCTGTGTCTTCATGGCATATTGTACGAGAAAGAACTGAGAAACCACCCCCAACACGGGAGATCTAGGCAAGCGCTCAGTCTCAGGTTAGAAAGGGAGAAGTCGGGGACTGCAGGGAGTGGGCAGAGGAAAGAGGATGAGCAGAGGGCAGGACGCCCAGGCCCCACATACATTTTTGAGGATGGCTAGGATGGAGTGGCGTTTGGTGGCGGGCTGAGAATTGGTTGAAACTCTGGACTCCTCTTTGACTGTTCTCGTCTCCTCTCCTGGGGGGTGACAGGTTGTAGAAGAATCTTCAGGTTGTAACGGAGCAACAGAAATGGCACACACATTCCCCAAAAGGGCGGGGGCTAGCTGGAGGTAGATTACCCTCTTGACCAGTGCAGTAAGACCATCACACCAGCCCCAGATCTCCTCCACGTCTTCATAGTACAACCCCCCTCCGCTCCCAGGAGCCTCAGATCATGTTATGTCTATTCCGAGAATCTAAAATTGCTTCCGACTACTCTCAAAAATTCAAGGTCATTCAGGACCTACCCCACTTTATCTCTCCCTGCCCTCTCTTCCTGTTGTCCCCTGACTCCCCATGCCCTGGTCCCTCTGGACTTCTGGTTCATGCCCACTACAGACACAGCGCATTCATTCTTACCCTGGGCTCACACTGCCCCCACCCCTGGCAGGCCTCCCTCCACACCAGCTACTTCAGACCTTTACCGATGAGGTCCAAGTTGATCTCCTGCTCCCCAGCTTCAAGCTTGAGCTGCTGGTAGTAGCGGTAGAATTCCTATCAAGCAAGGGAGACAGGAGAGGTGGAACCTCTAGAATTTCCCTCCTACAGTTTTAGGCTTAGCACACCCTTATGGTCTGGAGCCCTGGGCTTCCTCTCCTACCCCCAAGGCTTTTTCTCCATTTGCTCACCAGCCGGGGCAGGGCCAGGTAGCAGACGATGGCTAAAATGATGACGAAACAGGCTGTGATAAAGTAGGCGAAGGCACTTTCTGACAGTTGTGAGCCACCTGAGGGAAGGGTGTCAGTGGTCAGAGATGGGCCCCCCATGCTTCTCCCCCAACAACCAGGGCAACAGACAGGCAGCAAGACTTACTGGCGATGGCGCAGATCATGGCCACCGAGGCAAACAAGCCTGCCAGGCCCTGGCCACTCATGATGGGGGCTGTGTAGCTGGCGGGCAGCAGGCCAGCCAGACCAAACAGGCTGCCCTGCAGGATGGCACCAAATGCTGGGGAGAAGAGGGTGGGCATCAGCAGGGGGAACTCATTTCTGCTGGGAGTGGTTGGGGCCCATGGAAAGACAGATGTCTAATTCCCAATTTACTCCCCGTGAGTCTTGGACACCGAAGCGGCCCTTCTCTCTGCCCCACCCCCAGTTCTGATGTGTGCCTGCTCAGGCTTCTAGAGCCTGACTGCCCACAGCATCCACTTCCTCTGGGGGAGGAGCGGACTCCCCCTTTGGCTCACTGTAGGTCTGAATAAAGGGTGGAGGTATGGGGGGGAGATCGCTTACAATTAATGAGCATGATCTTAATCATGGTGATGACGAAGAAAGGCAGAGCAGCCAGCTGCACCTTCACCAGAATGGCAGTGATCAGGAACACCAACAGGATGGCTACCAAGCTGCCCAGGATCCGAACAGACTGGGGGATCCTGCCGGAGGGGGGAGGTGGTGGAGGTGGGTGGTTAAGCCAAGGGCTCAGCTGGAGGAGTAGAGGAGGCCGTGAGGGCTGGGCCGGGAGCCTGCGCACCTCTGATGCAGGAAGGAGTTGAGGCAGGTGAAGAGCAGCAAGGGCAGCATGGCGCACAAGGTCATGACGTTGTTAAAGATGGCACTGAGATAATTATTCTCTGGAAAGGCTACTGTGGGGATGGAGGAGGGCTCGATGGTTCCGCTCGGCTCAGCAGTGACCAAGGAGGTGTTATACGGGTTGGCCAGGCGGATTGGGTCAGTCAGGCGGTTTCTGAAATACTGTGGGGATAGCAGAGACAGGAGTTGGAATGGTTCCCTGTGTCCACTGAGTATAAACTTAGGTCCTACATGCCCAGAGGATGCCCCCCACCCCAGAGCCCAGTCCCCCCCAATCTCACCAGAGTGGCTGTCATAAAAAAATTCCAGGGAAGCAGTGTCCCCAAGCCCAGCATGAAGAAGATAAACCAGACGAATCTGTACCTGGGGATGAAGAGGAAAGAGTAGCCAAGTGACCCACCACCTCCTCCCCGTCACAAACCCAGGGAAGCCTCCCTCCCTGACCTTCGGCCTCTTAAGTTGTCCAAGGGCACAGGGCATCTGTGTTTGTGTCCATGTCATGTGTCCTTCTGTGGGTGCAAGGGCGGGGGCGTGTCTGGGGACAGGGACAAGGGCACAGTGGAGTCCGGGGCGGGGGGAGGGGAGCAGGGACACAGGACTAAAGGGCATGGCTGAAAGAACGGACCTTGGTTCTCAGCCCCAAGGACTCAGGGGACCCTGTAGGTTTGGGAATCACTGTGACCCACACATCCGGAGGTGGTTTTGGAAATCTTGCTAAAGGCCTGGTATGGGCGGGTGAGTAAGAAAGCAAACAGCAAGTGTCTTCCACCCCCACGGGGCAGACTGGAAGTGATTATGTCTGGGCAGGGACTGTGTGGCTCCCCATAGAGGATTCTGAGGTCAAGAAACTCCCAGAACTAGACGTAGTAGGACATTCTGGACCTAGTAGGACAGGCAGGCGGCTGTCTTAGGAAGTGAGGGAGCTGTTTTTTCCTGGCCCAGACAGAACTGGCTTTGTAAGTCATACCCCCTAGGGTAGGTATAAGGCCACTGAAAGTCATCTGGGCCCCAAGTATAAATAAGTTTGCTTCAGTGTTGGTCAGGGCACTGCCCAAGCCCTTAACCTCAGGGATGGGCCAGCTCCCCCCAGGCAGCCCTGTCCCTCCTCATTGCCCCCCTTCCACCCGCCCCAGGATCTACTGTACCTTTACCATAGTCAAAACCAGTTTTCAGGGACCAAGCCCAAGGCAGTGAGGAGATAGAGTACAGGGTCTGGGTGAGTGCCCATTATAAGTGCAGTCCCCCAACTTCTTCATATACTCCTCCCTTGAAGAACTATGGCCTTGATTCAGAAGCCCAGAGAAAAGGAAAAACTCTCAGCCAAAGCCACACAGCATAGGATGGAGGGTCACAGTGGGGCTCACTGAGTACAACAAGGGAGCTGGGATGGGGATAGAGGCACAGGAGGGAGGCAACCTAGGATCTGTACTTACTAGAACCCCTCCCATCCAAATAACCCTCACCTCTATTTTACAGGAGGGAACTAGTCCCAGAGAGATCACACTAAGGGTTCAAGGTCTCAGTCAGAATTGCCTAGTTGCGTAACCTGTGATGCAGAAGGCAGAAGAGCAGGGTGGTGGGGGTGGGATGGGGTGGGGTCTGAGTTGGAGGAGTCTGGCTCCCAGGCATGGCTTTGTCAATCAGCTTGGGTCCTGTACACCTTGGAGAACTTTAATCAAGCTCCAACCTCCTCCCCCAGAGCACATATGCAGGACCACAGTTGAGGGTCAGGCTCCAGAGGTGGGTAGAAGTGAGGAAGGTCAGCTTGAAGGACCCCAGGGTCATCCGAGGCAGAGGACCCAAAGTAACCCTGAAGGAGAGGGCAGCCTGGCCAGATGTGTTCTGTATTGAGGGGTGCTGCCAAATGTCTCCCCACATAGGTGGCGGGAAGAGCTGGAAGCTGCTGGCTGGTTGGAGAGCAACAGTGGAAATATTGACAGACCAGGGAGGGGCTGCCTCCCACCCACAAATATTCAACCAAGGAATGCATGGGCCCCATCGTGGCAATAGACCTGACTCACAGCTAGCTGACCGGAAAGCCAGTAAGTAGTGGCAACCCCAAATTTCCAAGGACACTGTGCCCATTTTCACGCTCCCCTGAAACTACAGCCCAAGCCCTCCAGTACCTGTCCTGTGGTTGGTGACTGGTTGTCATGATGACGATGGTGACAGTCTTGTCAACGTTCTTGGTTTCCTCTGGCTGATAGGTCTCTCCCTCTGAGGCCCGCTGGGAACAAAAGCAGTGTGGGGCCAGGTCTTGGCCCTGCTTCCCCACAGCTCCCTTCAGTCTCTTGGGGAACAGGAGGGCAGACAGAGCAGGCAAGCTAAGGAGTCTAGAAGGAACCCCTTCCCTATTCAGGAGTGCTCTGTTGGGCCCCTCTGCCTGGTCAGGCTTTACCTGGCTCCAGGCCTGGCCAGGCCGCTGCCACCGCTATTTTTATCCAGCAGCTGAAGCAGTTTGGAAGCTTGGAAACAGGAGGGGGGAGAGCAGAAGGGAAGGAGGACGTATGCCTGAGAGGGAGGGAAAGACAGGCAGAGAAGGCAGGGAAGAGGATGAGAGGGGTCAGGGACAGTGATGATAAATCTCAGAAGGAGGGACGGGGGAGGGAGACAGAAAGGAGAACAAGCAAAGAGGCTAAGGGGGAGGGGAGCAGGCAGGGCACAAAATAAACAGATCTGCAACAGCAGCAGCCACGAGTTATGACTGTGGCCAAGCCAGCGAGGCCTCCCTCCCCAGGGCCCTATCTGCTCGCTACCCTTCTGAGAGACCATGGACTCATGTCTAGGGCGGGGTTGGAAAGCCTGTACCCTCCTGGAGCCAACCCAGAACTCCAGCCTCTCCGCTGGTGGCACCTTAACCTTCCTTTCCAGCCAGTGCCTGGGGCTTTCCTAGTTCCTTCCAGTTCCAGACCAGTTTTCTAAGAAATACTTAGCTATGTATGGGGACACAGCCCCTAACCTTGACCCCGAGGGTCATCCCATCCCCCCTCAGTTCCTCCCTGACTACTCCTACAGCTGTTCTCTTCTCCTTTCTGAAAGCAAACTTGAAGATTGGTGGGGTGGGGGCACAGGCCTGATTAACTGCACAGTCCCGAAAGTTGCCAGCCTCCCTCCTCAGTGTCTCTCTCCTGTACCCTTGGGTAGCAAGAAGTACCCTGGCACCAGCCCTCCCTTTGGAGGGCATAGAAAGCCAGGCAGGCACACACATGCTAACACATCCTGCCATATTTGGGTCCAGCTCCAGTATTAAGCCTGCTGGGGCGGTGGGGGGGAGGAGATGGACAAGCTTCCTTGCCCTCCAGGGGCTGGCACTTACCAGATGCCCAAACTTGCCAGCAGCTGGGTCAGCGTCGTCAAGGGGGCCTAGTTTGTCCCTGGGAGGTGGTCCTAGCTCAGGCTCAGGCTGCAGGTTTTGTCCATTGGTTCCTGGGTAAGAGTCCAGAATGCAGAGTGGCACAGGGCATATCGGGGAGAACCCCCTCAGGCCTTGTTGAAGGAGGGAGCTGCCCCATTCTAAGAAGTATCTCTCTCACACACACACCCACACCCATCAAGAAGATAAAAACCACCCCTGTAGCTAGGGAGATAAAAGACCCAACAAGTCTCTCAGCAGGGAGGCTGAGGGGTGGGTCAATTCACAGGTACAGCCAGTACTGAGACAAAGACACTGCCAGATAGACACCAAAGAGACAGACTCCACTGCCACCACCGCTCCCCTCATCCCAACCCTTCCCTAGGAAAACTCCAGACTTGTCAAAGGCTTTCCTCAGCACCCCCCCCACACACACACACACACACACACACACACACACACACGTGGAAGAACAGGGAGCGGAGGAGCAAGCACACAACCCCCAGGATGGAGGCAAGGGCTTCTGTCCTTATCCTTCTAACTATTTACTGGGTACCTCTGCATGCTAGCCACGCACTGTTGGCACGGGGACAGAGTGAAGAACAAGTCTACATTTTCAGGGAGATGAGGGCAAGAGCACTCTACCCTAGGGGTAGGTGGAGAAGGCTCAAGACTCAGATTTTTCATTAGGTATAGGAACCCCCAGCTTCTTGAACCCAAGGGCACTCCCCAACAACGCTGGCAAGATTACACCCCTACAACCGTGCTCAGCAGTCACCTCCCCAATCCTGGGCCCAATTCAACGCCAGGAGCAGTCCCCTCCTCCTGCCCACGTCAGGACACTCAGCTGGCCAGCCCAGGTGTTCTGTTCTTATTTGCCTCTGCCCAGCAGCAGCCAGGGATTTGATACCAGCTCCAAGCATCTGGTGTCCCTCTGGCCATGCCTTGGCCTGCCTAAGGGGCCCTGAAAGCATTCACCCAACTCAGCAGCTCTCCACCCCCTGGCTCCCAACAAGTCTCAGGAGCCTTGGCTTCCAGGCACACCCTCCTAGTAGCACCAAATTCTCTACTCCTCAGGATGCCATATGGGGCTAGTTGCTACCTGCAGATACCTACTCCCTCTTGTCCTGGCACTCATCTAAGTTAGCACTCAGCTGTCTCCAATGCAGCTGAGAACATCTGAGCTTCAGAGGCTGAGTTACTTGTTCCTAAGGTCACAGTTAGTGAAGAGCCGTAATTCAAACTGTGCAGCTTATTCTAGACTTATGGGATGGGATGGGAGGTATGAAGGCTGCTTCACAGTTAGCCCTGTATAGTGGGTGTGGGGGTACTCTCAAGTAGGGGAGAGAAATGAGGTTAGAGGTCTCACTAGCTTGGCATGAGTGTTGGGTGTGACGACTACCCAGAGGCGTGGGGCGGCCCAGACAGGATAAGGGGCCAGGCTGGGACCAGCCTTCACCCACCCTTTTCCTCCCTGGGAAGAAAATTTTGTCCTTTCACTTAGTGAATATAAGACTTTCTGGGAGAAAATGAGGAAGCGCCCAGAAAGGAGATGCCAGAGACAGAGTGAGCCGATAACAAACGGGTACTAAAACAGCTTGCAGGCTGCGTGCCTTCATCCCCAAGACTCCAAGGGGGACTCCTCCTGCGTACCGACCAGGCTGGTGATCAGCCATGCAGTCACTCGCCGCCTCGGAAGGAGGTCAGGCCGGCGACAGTCGGTTTCAGAGCCGAAAGCCCAGCGGCCCACGACCCGCACGAGTCGGGATCCCCTGGGGGTCACCCCTTCCCCACACCCCGGCCCCCCGCGCGCCTGGCCCCGGGGCGCCACGTGCTGCGCCGCCCCGCCAGCTCCGCACGGGGGCAGCGGCAGCCGCACCCCGCGTGCCCTCTCGCCGCCACGCAACTGCCAGGCTCGGCCGCCCCGCCCTCGTGGCTGGCGGGAATTGGCGCCTGCCGCCCCCGCGGCCCCCGGCCCGCGCCCCCCGGCCCGCGCCTCCCGCGGCACCTGCAGGGAAGGGTCCTCCGGCGCCGAGATCTGCGCGCGCTCCCGGCGCTTCCCGCGCGCCGGGGCCTTTTCAAACCCGCCCTGCGCTGAGCCCGCCCCCGCGAGTCTCCGCCCGCCGCCCTCACGGGGGCCCCGCCGCTGCGCGACCTCCGCCCGCGCCCCCGCCGGCACCACGCCTGGTGGTTTCTGTAGCGACGACATCTTTGGGCCCTGCCGCACCAGACCCTACCCCACTAAGGGGCACGGGGGCTTGCAGGGGCCAGGCCCCCCACTCGGTACCCCTAGTCTCTAAGCTGGAGCTACTGCACAAGTTCCCACAGAGCCCCGCCTGGGATGCTCCCAGCAACAGACCTGCTGCCCCGACAGTCCCGGATGCCCCATACTCCATTCTTGATGCTCCGTTGTCGCTCCTCAAACCCCCTCCCACGCCGTTTTCTTTCCCTTGGTACGTCTCTCCTTTCCCGCGCCCCTCCCCCACGCGGTGCCCCCCTTCTTCCTTTCAGACCTCTCCTCCTGGAACGCTGCTGCTCTTTCACTCCGTGGGGTTCCCCTCCGATAGAGTCTGCATGGTGGGTTTTCCCACCCCTAATACGTAACCACACGGCCCAAACACTCTACCACCCACAACTTAAGGGGGGTATGTGGCTGTGAGTGTTGGGGGGTGGGGGATGTTGATTAGAAGCGCAGCTCGGTAGCCTCCTAGTGATTCACCCTTTCTGTACCCAGAACTTTGGAAAAACTGAGGCACAGCTGGATAAAGGAAGAGAAAAAGGCCGGAACTGCCTTACATCCTGAGTGAATCCTATTGTGAGGAGGAAGCCTTGCTGAGCCCCCACATCCTCCACTGGCTGAGGAGGAAGGGGGTGGGCTGCTGAGCAGTGGTCAGTTCTTTTACCTAAGGAGGGAAAACGATCCCCTCCATTTTTGTTAAGCAGTAAATTGTGGCTGGGGACAGATCATTGCCCTGCAGAAGCCCTCGGTGCTGGAGGACAATCCAAAGCTTAGGAGGTGCCTTGGAGAGAAAATCCAACCCAGTCTTCTGCTCCCTCCCTGCCATTACCCAAGAGGCCTGTGCCCAGGAGAAGCCACAAACACTAATTAACAATTAGCAGTACCAGCATCATAGGGTTACGGCAGAGCCACACCCTCTCCCCCAGAGAACAGATGGGGCCCTGAGGGGAGGGATGCTTTTTTATTTAGGATCAATGGACTCTCCCCAGGCTACTCCAGAAGGGGTGTTCTCCAGCCTTCTGGCCCCAAGCCCAACAGATCTTCATAGACCATCTGCCCCCAGACTTATCCAGAGGGCAGGAAAATGGGTATTTTTCTAGGCACTGTCCATGTGTCCAAGACAGGTTCATGTCTGGGTCTCCCTCGCCCCCATGTCCATTCTGTGTTTGTCCAGTCTCTCCCTCTTCCTCTCCCAGCCCTTCCCTCCCTCTTCTTTGGCTCCATCTCTCTCCCCACCTTCATTTCCTGTCTCTGGACATGTGGGGGTGGCAGGCCTTAGTGGTCAGGCAGATCTGCCAGGCATGACCAGGCTGGTGGTCAGAGGCTGCTGTTGTGTGTAACTAGGGCTGGAAGTGGAATTAAAGTGAAGGAAAGTGGTGAGAGTCCCACGCCAGACAGGGGAAGACTGGTTCCTCTCCCCACCCCCTCGGGGGCCTGGTCTGCTCACAGGATGGCAACAGCCAAGGCTGTGATTGCTGTAGAAAAGCCCATCTGGGGCCTCCCCAATGGCGCAGCGGTTGAGCGCTGGGTTGCGAAGCTGCCCGCAGCTCTGCAGCGCCGGTTCGATGCCCGGCTGCTCCCCGGCCACCGAAGGAGGGTTCCACATGGGGCACAGACCTCTCCTGCCGCCCGCTGCTCCCCTCAGCAGTGTACTTCGGTCCTTCTGCCTGCTCTGCTCCCCAATCTGGCCCTGGTGAATTGTCTCACCCTCCCGTGCTTCTGACTGTATCCAGTGCTTGTATAAATAAAAATAAATCTTAAAGAAAAAAAGAAAAGCCCGGGCCTCCCCGGTGGCGCAGCGGTTGAGCGCTGGGTTGCGAAGCTGCCCGAGCTGCGGCGCCGGTTCGATGCCCGGCTGCTCCCCGGCCACCGGAGGAGGGTCCCACATGGCGCGCAGACCTCTTCTGCCGCCCGCTGCTTCCCTCAGCAGTGTACTTCGGTCCTTCTGCCTGCTCTGCTCCCCGCTCTGGCTCTGGTGAATTCTCTCACCCTTCTGCGCTCTGACTGTACCCAGTGCATGTATAAACAAAACAAACAAACCAGCAAACAAATAAATAAAGCATGCCTCTATTAAAAAAAAAAGAAAAAAAAAAAAGAAAAGCCCATCTGGCCCTCACCCTGCCTGGGCCCCCAGCCAGCAGCCACACCCCTCTAGAGCCACCTCCCTGGATAAGTGTTGCTATGGGTGCCAGGGCCCCCTAGTGGAATGGACAGCCTCTGGCCCTAACTCACTCAGGCCTAGGTCTGGAGTTATCTAGACAGGCCCAGCCAGCCCTTTGTCATCTTCTGCCCACTCTTATGGCTCTCTCACTTCTAGTTCCCTCAGGTCCCATTCCTCGATTGAATTCTGTGAGATGGGAAGGGCTGGTCCAGCAGCACCACCCCCCACTCTGTGTCTTGCCCCAGACTCCCTCCTCCCCTGCCCAGCCCCAAGCCTGCCTCACCCCCTCACAGACAGTCCGATTTCTCCAGCCCTGTGTCCATCTGTGTTGCTGGGAGTGTTTGCTCAGCAGGGGGGGGGGGGGGCAGTTTGTCACCAGCACATGTCACATGTCTCATGACTGTACCTTTTCACTTGTGTTTGTGTCTTCAGCTGCAAGGCTTTGTGGCAGGGTTGGGATTAGGGAGAGGCCAATGAGGCACTGGGCTGAGGTGCAAAATTTAAGAGTGCTCCAAAAAACTCATAAATCAAGATTAATAATACCTTGATGCTGTATTTAAAATAATCCAAGTTAGGGCCTCCCCTGGTGGCGCAGTGGTTGAGCGCTGGGTTGCGAGGCTGCCCGCAGCCTCTGCAGTGCCAGTTCGATCCCCGGCCACCGGAGAGGGTCCCGCAAAAAATAAATAAATAAATAAAATAATCCAAGTTAATGCAAAAAACCCAAGATGAACAAGACCTCATTCTGGGTCAAACTCACTTCCCTGACCTTCCTGGGGAAAGACTGGTATTGGAGTTCAGGATTCAGGAATACTTGACTCTGTTTACTAGGTCTGGCCTTGATGTAGCCTAGCTTCTTCCACCTCTGCCCTACCTTAGGCTCTTGGCAAGTCTCTGACCTTGGGGTCATCAACATGGGGTGAGGGGTGAGGATCACCTAACCGTGGCCTTCAAAACCCCAGACCAGCACCCCCTTCCCAGAAACCGCAGACCCCCACTCCACCCCTACCCCGACCCCAACAAGGGTGAGCAGCACATGTGGGGCGCTGCCAGCACCCAGCTCTATGAGGCCAGGGGAGAGCCAGGCCAACCCCGCCCCTACCCCCGCCTCCAGCGCACCTGCTGAAGCTTTAGTGAGGACATCCGGCGTTGGGGAGGGGGTACGGAAATCCCGGGCTGGCAAACCCAGGGTCCCTCTCCTGGCGTCCTCGCCGCTAGACGAGGGCCATCGCGGTGGCCGGAAATCGCAGCCCGCGCCGGGTCTGACCGGTCTCCCCGCCGGCCGGGACGGCTGAGACGGAGCCCCGCGCCCTCTGCGCGCTCCGCTGGGCCCCGCCGGCGCCGCTGGGGGCCGGGAGGGCTTTGGGAGGTCGGTGGGAGAGGAGACCCGGAGGAGGCCAGAAACCGCGCCCGTGACCCCAAAGGGGAAGGGAGTTAGGGAAATGGCCTCGAGCCCTCCTCCCAAGCGGCCGTCCCGATACAGGCGAGCTCCAGCGCAGGCTTTAGAGAACTCCAGGAGCGAGCAGATGGTTCCCCGGCAGGAGGGCGACGGGCGGGGCGGGGCGGGCCGGGGGGGGGGGGGGGGGGGCGGGGGGGGGCGCGCATAGCTCGGGGCTTTGTTCTTTTCCCAGCCCAGGCAGGCTAAGGGTGAGGGGACAGGATGGGGTCCTGAAAAGGGCCTGTAGTCCTCGCTGTTCCCCTCTGGACCTAGAGCCCAAGACTAGCCGTGAGAGGCAGAGAGGACTATTGAATGAGAACAATATGCAAATTATATGGAAACGGGCTGCAAATACATCTGGCAATTCTTATTTGACCCCAGTGGGGCCTTTTCTAGGGGAAGAGAAACTATGGTGAATTCATCACATCAGGTCGCCCCACCCCCAGCTTCCCTCAGATCCCTTCGCCATTGCTCTCCCGAGGGGCGGCCCACTGGCTCCCTTAGCAGACACAGGGCCTCTTCCCAGCCCTTCACTGAAGTCTTCAAACTTGCTCAACGACCACGGATGTCTGTTTTCCCTACCTTGAGCTGGCATGGCACACTTCCTCCAAGTCAGACCACGACTTCGGATCAGAGTGTGACAGATGTATTGGCTGACGTTAGACAAGAGAAGCTGTTTCCAGGTGAGGATAAGTGACAATGAAATAAGCAACAAAAGGAAGCCGTGAGGGCCCGCCCTCTGTCCCACCCCTCCACACCAAGCACCTCTTCCAGGTGAGATCCGCTTGTAGCATATGAGATGGAAGATGGTCAAAAGCATCCCAGGAATTCAAATCTACAGATTTATTAAGTGATAGTTGCATGCTGGAGGTGTCACTTCAGATGCAGGACTAACTCCCTAAGGAACCAAGATCTTATTTTAAGGTAAATCTTGAGGCAGTAAGACAATCTGGATTAAAATGTCTAGACTCTGCTAAATGGTCAGTTGTCCCTGGGTTAAGTAAGTATCGTCCCTCATGGGACTTCATGTCCCCATTTGGCTGGGGTGGGGTAGGGGTTGAGAGGGAGTTATTTCTTTCCCCCCTGAGTCCACAGGTAATCAACAAAGGTCTTCAAAGGGAAGCAGGGAAGGGAGTGTCCATTTTCTACAAGGTGCAGGGTATCCTTCTTGTCATTTCTGCTGGGAAGGAGGAGACGTGTCCTGGTCAGACCCCTTTTGTGCTTAGCATCCCACCATGTCTTCTGCACACTGGGCAGGCTGTGGTCAGTGACAGTGCAGGGACTGTGACTGCAAAAGAAAGCATTTTGGCGAATACTGCTGCTACTTGGTCTCCTGGTCTCATTTTGGGGGAGCTAGCCTCTCCCTCCTCTCTGGGTGGGCCTTACTGGAGGCCTCCCCAGCATCAGGTGAGTGTCTCTGGCTGAGGATGAACAACAGACAGCCCAGCAAAGCCTCTCGCATGTCTTGGGATCCCAGGCGGCGGGCCAATCTGCGCAGCAGGGGCAGGAGGTGCCGGCGGGTCAGGCGGGCAATTGGCAGCAGTAGGCGAGACAGCAACATCCGAAGCAGCAGAGGGAGCAGCGGTGCAGGCATGGCCGGTCAGGGACTGGGAGGCAATCCAGACTCTAGACTTGCCTCTTTCCTGCTCCTTCCTCACCTGGCAAAGACATGGAGCTGGAGGATTTCCCCCTCCTCAGTTTCCCCCTTCAGGCTCCCCAGACCTTAGTTCTTAGGTAATATTTACTTTCCTGAAGCCCTTTCTCTTGGCCAGGTAGCTGAGGTGAGGATTCCCAGAACTAGAAACTGGCTACTCTCAGCCCCAGGAAGCTCCTACAGTTGCTCATACCCTTCCCTCCTCGGGTTACCCACCCGTCAAGCACACCCTCAGGCTCCAGACTTTACCCTCAAATCAGCAGGAGTTCTTCCTCCAGGCAATTCTAAATTTTCTTTTTAGGGCCCTCAATCCACCCATTTCTGACACCTCACCCCTCCTAGTCCCTCACCCCCTACCTTGTGTAACTCACCGTTCAGAACCGCTGCCCACAATCTATCTCAGGCTGAATTTGTCTGGAGGGTAACAGCCTCACTGGAGGCTGCTTGGACTGCTCCACTCAGCTCAGTCCCACACAGACTGGCTGGGGGGTGGGGGGAAAATGAGACAGCTGTGTTCTGGCACCTGGTATATGGAGGGGAGGGGGCAGAGGGGGTTGGAAATGGAAGGAACACAAGCAGGAATTCTCCTTGACTGGGTGCAGACCTCAGGGTTGGAACCCAGACTGCACTTTCTAGTCATGTGACCTTAGGCTTATTGATTCTTCTGGACTCCTGTCCCTCCTGTTACTCAGCAGCTGAGAAAGGAAGCATAGGACCGGGCAGGCTGGCTTTTGTAGGCCCTCCCCTGGGGGATAGAGGAGTAGGTCGCAGTTCATCCCAGTTGTACACAGCTGGGAGGTACAGGGACAGGAACAGGGATATCTACCTCAGCACCCACTCCACCCACTTTTCCCCTAGATTCACGAGGTCCCATGAGCTAGCAAAATACAGGAACAACAAAGGTTTGTTTTGTTGTACCACACTCTCCTCTTCATAAAATGGGTATAATTTCTGCCTCGCTGGACTGACATGAGATAATAACCATGAGAGTGTTTTTGCACACTTCATGGCCTTGGAAATATGATCCGTTGTCCCATCAGTGGTCTCTGTTAACATCCTCACTATCTCCAAAGCCAGAGACCTTGAAGAAAGCTTAAATGGCAGAAAGGTCTGTTCCATTTCCACCCTGAGGTAACAGGGGAGAGGAGCGGGAGTATAGATTCATAGGTGTTGTCTTCCTCTCCTTCTACCTGTTTCCCGAGGAGATGGGATGGCCTGTGTCACCCCTGTGCTGTGGGCAGGATGTGTACACATGTGTACCAAGGCTTTGAGCTCATGATCTCACTGAATTCTTACCACTCTGCGGGGGAAGATTATTATAACATTTGTGGAAACTGATGTCCAGAGTGGTTAAAAAACTTGCCCATACAGCAGATAAATGGCCTCATCTCCCCCCAGACTTGCCCCTCCCTCAGTACTTCTCATCTCTAAGTGATAACTCCATCTTCCCAGTTATTCTGGCCAAAATCTTGTAAGTTATCCTTGACCTCGCTCTTCCTGTCACAGTTCACCACCACATTTGTAAATTGAGGTGGTCTACTTTCTACATATTCAGTGCCTTACCACTGACACCACCATGCCTACCCTCATCAGAGCTTTCATCATCTCTCTCCTGAATTATTGTAGTAACCTCTCAACTGTGTTCCTGTGGTCAGGCCTGAACACTTGCCCCCCTGCCTTAGAAGCCACTGTACTACATTCCTCATGGCCATGGTGATGGGTTGCCTAATGCTTAAGGAAATATTTCTGTTACTTCCAAGGATGCTGATAACGTCAGTACCTCAGGTTGTTTTAAATTGGTAACTCATAAAAGAGAAGCCACAGTGGTTCTGACTGTGTAGAGACGCCTCCAGAGTGAGCTCTAGGGAAAGGGGACCTTCACTGCTGCTGTTCCCCATCCTGTCCATTTTATTTACTCTTAGCTTCGTTAAATTGATAACGCAGGATCCAGTGCCCCTAGATTGCAGGATCCTTCCTGGTCCTGAGACTAAAGAAACTCTCCCCAGACCCATGTGTCCTGCATCCCTTTCTTTCCTATATAATCTTCCTTTGCTAGACATTCTAGGAGGCAGCCTTTCCTACAGCACTGACTCTGCTGTCCTCCTGATGCGGAACCACTAGCCAAGAAAATACTTTTTTTTTTTTTTTGTGGGACCCTCGCCAGCCGGCTGGGAAACGAACCGGCGCTGCAGAGGCTGCGGTCAGCCTTGCAGCCCAGCGCTCAACCGCTGCGCCACCAGGGGAGGCCCCCAAGAAAATGCTTTTTTGTAGAAACAATCTTGTGGTTCAGAGTCTGGCTTTCTGAGCTCAAGCAATAAAGTCAGGGTAGGTCAATAACAAATTTCAGGGGCTTGTCTGGAATTCCCTTTCACTCAGGGTTTGAGAACCATTCCCTGGTACTGGGAGAAGCCACTAACCAGGCCTAGCAGCTTTTTGAGCTCTTTCCTCAGAGACTGGGTTTTACATCCTCTCTTTTCCAGATGGGACCACACTCACTGCTTTTCATAAGGGAACTGAAAACTGCTGACTGGAACCTGAATATTAAAAACCAAAGTCTCAGTGCTATAAGCTATCACCAGCCACTGTGGCATGAGTTCGATTCCTAGCCAAGGGGTTAACACACATGGTGCAGCAGACCTCTCCTGTCTTGCCTGCTGCTCCCCTCAGCAGTGTATTTCAGTACATCTGCCTGAACTGTACCCCACTCTGTCTCTGGTGAATCCTCTCACCCCTGCCCCCACATCTCTGGCCTATACCCCAGTTCTTGTATGCATAAGTAAATAAAATAAATCTTAAAAAAAAGCTAGATGGGTAAGTAACTGAAAGATACCTATCGTTGAAGGCACCATTTCTTCTGATTAGAAGAAACCACAGTAGTTCTGACTGTAGAGACTCCTCCAGAGTGAGCTCTAAGGAAAGGGGACCTTCATTGCTACTCTGTTTCCCAACCTGTTTTATTTACTCTTAGCTTAGTCAGATTGGCATACTGGTTGCAGATTCATAGAAGTTTAGAGAAAAAATTGGAACTATTAACTCAATACTGGCTAAAGCTCTTTTATCGAGTGTATTTTTTCCCCAAAGATTTATTCATGCATACAAGAACTGGGGTACAAGCCAGAGGTGTGGGGGTGAGAGGATTCACCAGAGACAGAGTGGGGAACAGAACAGGCAGATTGACTGCGCCATGTGGGTAGCTCCCTGGCCAGGGATTGAACTCGTGCTAACTTCATAGGTTGTGGCTGTGGATAACTTCATAGGTTGCGTCTTAACCCCTTGCGCCACCAGGGATGCCCACCTCAAGCTTTAAGACCTCAGTGATCCTGCTTTGGGCCACCCATTTGGCTTGGCATTTACCCATGAGGGGTTGGGTAACTTTGGGTGCTTCATTTAGAAGCTATATTCTTTCTCTTCTTTCTATAGCACACTTGTTCTATTAAAGTTATTTTCTATTGAAGGTCTTATACATAAACAGTATATGCTGTCTTTGTGTGGCAGATGACAGAACCCATTTCCATCATGTAGGTTTAGGGGTCCCGGGGTGCCCCTCCTTTTGAAACTGAGAGATGCATGTATTTTGTTGCTGGATCACTTCTGCTGACAAATTTGGTAACCATTGTCTGTTTTAGAGTCTGTGGTTGGTCAGCCCTATGGGGAAAGTTGGCTTCCCCATGGCTCTGACTACCATAATGAGAGTATGGTTGTTTCTCTAGTATGATTGCGTTTCAGATATGTGTTGATTTGCTTCTCACTTCAGATTATTAAAAACTGGCTTTGACCTCATGGAAACTTTGTGACTGTGTGCGACTTGTTTCTAGTCATTAGTGCAGAGGTTTGATTTTGTGGAAATTGTTCTGTGTGGTAATAAGCAACTTTATTCAAAGATGCTTAATGTTGAAACCATGTGGTTAGGTCAAGATAGAACCTGCTCCAAAATGGCATTTGGGGCCTCATGGTGGTGGGCTTCTCAGGAACTAAGCAAGCAGTTTTAGCAAAAGATAGTAGTAAATTCAAACCACATGGCCAAATCAAATATGGCACTTGCTCCTGTAAGGTCTACGTTTTCCAAGATGATGTTTGTGACCAGATGGTGGGCTGTTCTGAAACTCAGAAGTTTTGGTTTTTTTTAAAAAAAGATTTATTTATTTATGCATGCAAGAGCTGGGATGTAGGCCAGAGGTGCAGGAGGGTGAGAGGATTCACCAGAGACAGAGTGGGAGTAGAACAGGCAGATTGACTGAAATACACTGCCGAGGGGAGCAGTAGGCGAGTCTGGAGAGGTCTGCTGCGCCATGTGGGTCACTTCCCTGGCAGGGGATAGAATGTGCTGCAGTGGCTGCTGATAGCTTCATAGTGCTGAGATTTAATCCCTTGAGCCACCAGGGAGGCCCCCAGAAGTGTTTTTGTTTTTTTTTAAGAAGTGTTTTCTTGATGATTTTTCCCTTTAGTTTTGTTTTACTAAGAATAGGCTTTTCTATTTGTGACATTTTTTATTAGAATAAATTCCATTCTGGGCCTCTCTGGTAGCACAAGGGGTTAAGACGCAACCCATGAGGCTTCTGGCAGCTGCTGCAGCACGAATTCGATCCTGGCCAGGGAGCTGCCCACAAGGTGAAGCAGACCTCTCCTGACTCACCCGCTGCTCCCCTCAGCAGTGTATTTCAGTTGATCTGCCTGTTCTGTTCCCCTGCTCTGTCTCTGGTAGATCCTCTCACCCCCAACACTTCTGGCCTGTACCCTGGTTCTTGTATGTATAAACAAATAAACCTTTTTTTTTTTAAAAAAAGAATAAATTCAGTTCTGTGACTTTGGTCTTTTGTTTGTGATCTCTGCTGGCTTATAGGTCTTAGTAGCAATTCTATAGGTAGTGATGGGGGGGGGCCTCCCAGGTGGCACAGGTGTTACAGTCAGCGCTATCAAGCTATCCGCAGCATGAGTGTGATCCCCAGCCAGGGAGCTGACCCACATGACAGGGTAGAT